GCAGGCCCAGTTCTCTTCTAGATCCACTGCCCTGGGAAGCTTTCAGCACTTAAAAGATTTATAATAGTCTATGAACTGGAACAAAAAACGACTGTCCTAATATAGGCAAGAACCAAGAGAAGTCCACTGGCTTCATTAACTCCACACTACTGCCTGTCACACACACTCCGACACGAGCTGTGGAAATGTGTGTCATCTCCCAAACGTCTGTCCCCCTGAGCTCTTCCCTCCTACCTCAGTGGGTCTTATCTAACATTAGCACAAACACACTACTCCCCAATCCAGCATTTTCTCAGAAGCAGCGGACTAGGTGGATGGGAAAAGATAAAGTGTTTCTACGTCCCAGGAACAGATGGGAAGGAGGGGAGCTACTTTTAATTTGACTGTCTCTAAGAGGCGAAGTTAGGACCACATGAGCCAGAGACAAATCTGCCCCTCATCTCCATAATAGTAGTTTTCAATCAACTCCACTAAAGGATTGGCACCTGTTTTGTATTTTTGTTTGTTTGAGTTTTTTTTTTGCCCCCTTGGTCTTTCTTCTAGGCAGCACAGGTTGTTTTCTGTCAAGAGTCCTGGTTTGCTTTTCAACTACCATTTTAAAGGGAGACTCCAAAACTTGACACGTGCCATTACTGGAAAACCTGCACATCTACTGTCTGTGTAGATTCAATTCCTCAAAGCAAAAGACTTGGCCCCAGGAACTCATGGCATCTGATGGAGAAAGGAACTGATCAATCTACATGTTCACTGAACTTTCCAAACAGCATTTTCCTCCACACTCCCAACAACGGTCTGCATGTCCTCTCTCCTGACTCTTCGCCCAGACAGACCATAAATCCATCTTCATTGAGCAGCTCAACAGCTAATACTTCCCAAGTATTTGCTGTCTTCCATATGACAGGGATCCATAGGAACATATGGAAAGCAGCTGTGAATTTCAGCTTCAAGGCCAGTTGCAGAGGATAGTTTATGCCTGGAAAGCTTGATAAGTTATTACTTTGAAAATGATATTTATTGAAGTTGACATTTGCTATGGAAAAGTTCATTCGCCACTTTGATGTCTCAGATAAACTTGTGAAAGATTGAGTGAGTGGTAAGCTGACTTTCCAAACGGGCTCAGCAGGTGCTCATCCAAAACTCTCATTAAGTAGATGTAACAGAAGCCAGGATAATGTTGATCTGTCTATCCCTAGAAATTTCTTTTAGTCTTAGAGAAGAAGCCAAGGCCAAGAGTGCCCTTTTACCCAACACTGGAATTGTTTCTGAATTTCAAAGCTAAAATCAGAGGGAAGAATACCGCTTATTTTATGAACGAATTGGGCAGGGATGCAGAGAAGCAATCAATTGCTAAGGATAAAAGGTGGCCACATAGATATCATGAAAACAACATCTGCTAGGTGAGAAGAAACTTAAAACAAAAATTTATTGAGTAGACCTTTTAATTGCCAGTTATTTAGGACCCTGGTAGAAAAAACCTGGAAAACATAAAGCTAATGAAGGCTACCTTCTCTCTGAAAGCCTGACAGTTGCATATCAAACGTTACTCTTCATATATACCTTGTATACCAAGTTAAATGAAGATGAGTCTATCCTTACCAGGGGGACACAAAATTGTTTTTCCAGCACTGAGTCTGTTGAATTGTTAGTACACTCTCACTTCTTACCAGTGATAAAATGCTAGATCACTGGGCAAATTTGGAGTTTATTCCACCAAGTTGAACCAATCTAATGGCAATTCAACACTGAATCAATGTAATGGCAATTCAACACTGAAGTTTGGACTCCTGACACCATATTTTAATCAACTGAGCTAAAAACAGACTCACTTAGGATCCTGAGATTGCTGCTTAGCCTTCTCCAGGCTTCTAAAGGTAGCAAAACAGCTGTCACAAACTAAGAAAAGTACCGATTCTCTGGAGAAGATTCACAAAATGTGAAGCCCCTCCCCCCCCAAAAAAAATCAAACAGGAAATCTTTTGCAGAATGCACGAATCCCAATGCTCTTATTTTAGTTTTTTTAAGTACACATAAATGCACATAACTGCTTCCTTAATAGTTTTTTTTTTTAATCTACTAGTCACACCGTGCTGAATATTGTCAGAGCAGACCCTGGGCTAGATGCCTCCGTTAGGTCCAATTCCCACAGGTACTGCTTCATGATACAGAAGTTATCACATGTAGACTCTACTATCCAGATCTACTGGACAAGGAAATAATCAATGGGACATGTCTCAGGTCCCAGCTAGTGAGAAATGGAGCTGGGACTGCAACCAGATGGCCTGGATCCAATGCACTTCCAACGAATTTAGATTCTAAGTGTGGAAGAACTCTATCATAGTAACAGCTCTCCTATCAAAGATATACAGGACGCCACATGTTTTAAACCTTTTATTTCATCTTCTTGTCACTACTGAGACAAGGATTCCCCCTTATAGATATGATCAGAAGTGAGTTATCCAAGGCCTCTGGCTGATAAATACCTAAACTGGCATTTAATTTAAAGTACTTTTGACCATGACCTTGAAGAAATTAGAATGATCCATATATTCAACAATTCAAGGTGCCATTTTAAAGAGGTCTGCAATAGGCTAAATATGACTGGAGTGCCACTGCATTCTAGAATTACAGAAATGAAAAAGATTAGAGTTCTTAAAAATATGTTCCGGGGCTGGAGCGATAGCACAGCGGGTAGGGCGTTTGCTTTGCACTCAGCCAACATGCCCGACACGGGTTCGATTCCCAGCATCCCATATGGTCCCCCGAGCACCGCCAGGAGCAATTCCTGAGTGCATGAGCCAGGAGTAACCCCTGAGCATCGCCAGGTGTGACCCAAAAAGCAAAAAAAAAAAAAAAAAAAAAAAAAAAAAGTTCCAACCCCTTTAGTTTGCAAATTAAAAAAAAATAACAACAAAAAAAAACACTTGAGGTTAGAGATTGCCCATCATCCTTGGAAAAGAAGGATTAATAACAATTTGGAGGAAACTACAAGGGGATTCAAGGTGAAAGAGTAATTCTAGAGAAAGGCAAAGCAACCAGATGTGTGTTCAAATTATAAAACAGATAAAAAGCAAACAAGAAAAAAAATACTCTTTTATCAAGCAAACTGAGCGGTCAAAGGAAACAGTCTCCCTGTTGGGCGGAGGGGACAGTCTAGGGCACACCCAGCCATCTTCAGGGGCTACCTGGGCTCTGTCCTCAGGGAGTCACTCCTGGCAGTTCTGGTATTTGAGGGATCACATGACGCTGGGGGTAGCACCAGGGTCATCTTAACCTCTGTACTACTCTGTGTACCTGCTGGGACTAGAAATAGTTTCCTTTTTTAAAAAACAGTTGTCTGGGCTGGAGCAGGTAGGCACTTGCCTTGCACACGGCTGGGCACTGCCAGATGTGGCCCAAAAACATAAAAAGTAATCAAAAAAGGCTTTTCTTAAAGGCAATGGTAGACAAACTCCTTTGAATCTACCACTCAGTGCTACTAATCCTATTTAACGTTACCTAATGCTGACATGGAGTTCAGTCAAATTCTATTTCCACTTCACCTGTTGTCATCCACCAGCATGGGCACGAGAATAGAGCTTTATCTGTTTTCTAGTCAATGTCTTCTCACTCGTTCATTCCTACCATCTGATGGAGAACACTCAAAATCTAAAGTCAAATTTAGTGAAATCTCGACATTAGCCTCAAAAGAGTTCAGACTGACTTTTGCTTGACTCCAAGGAGTACCAATGAACTGCGACAATGCAAAAAAAAAAAAAAAAAACCCACAACTTCAGTCGTTTTACTACAAAAGGTGGTGCCACCATCATCAGTGCGACAGAGAGAAATGCTGGTCACAAACCAAAAAATGAGCTCCACAGGGTGAGTTTCTACAAAGAAAGCTTTAATCCATTCTTCTCGAGGTAACAGTTTGCCAGTAAAAAGTTCTCAAAACACTTGAGATACTCACGAAACTTTATTTTCTAGTTAACAAATGCTAAAAATAATTCACACATGCTATGAGCGGTAGGCTGGGTGTTGGGTAACAGAGGGAAATGAAAGACCAAAAAAAAAAAAAAATTCATAAAACTTTCTGAAGACAGGCTTTGCGACAGGCATCGCACTTCCAAAAATGGGAGGTTTCCAAACGCAGGTGCAGCAGGGAGGGTGTGAAGGAAGTTAGTGCTGGTATATTGACACCCTAGAGAAAAATCAAGTTTTCAGTTTATGGATCACGAACATGCAGTTCTTTGCTTCAATGTTCTCACAACAGGCTCGCGCCCCCGTCCAGTGGTCTGAATACTGTAAGCTGATCTCGGGCCCAAGCTGCCTGGCAAGCACTTGTCCTGAAACTGGGCCCAGTCCCCAGCGTGGGTGCCAGTTCACAAGGGCGGGGGCAGGGAAGGGCGAGAAGTCAGTCAAGGGAAAGTGAAGGAGCAAGAAGCTGAGAGTTGCCCAGGGCAGGCCAGCAGGTGGAGGGTTGGGGTGGGGGATTAGGGAGGGGCAACGCACTGTGCCTACAGGCAGGTGGAACGGGCGCTAACCAGAGAACACTAATTGCTCCAAAGATCAAAGTTTCCCCAACTTGCCTATATGCACCTGCAAAAGAGCAGGGCAGGATCCTGAGCGCAGGAAGAGTTAACACCAAGGCCCATTTCACAGACAGGCACCCAGGAGGTCGGAGTTTCCCAAAAGAAAAAGAAAAGTGAATCCCACAACTAGTGGGCAACACGCTCAAAGCTAGACTTGAGGTTCCCCTGGAAGGAGCTGCTTGCAACCTTGGCGACCTCCCCCCAGCCCCAGCCCCAGCCCCGTGCAGGGCCACAACCAGCCAAGGATGTCTGGATCCTTGTCCCAAGTCTGGAAACTTGACGCTTCTGCACTGCGAAGAAGCTGGGCTTCGGGTCGGGGCAGCACGAGGGGTGAGGGGTGTCGGGGCGAGGTTGGGGGTCCCGGCGCGGAGGAGGGTCCCGGGTCCGAGTGCGAGAGCGCCCGCGCCCTCCGCCCGCCCACTTGTCACTCACCCGGATGCCCTTCACCACGGTGATGTTCTCATTCTCGTCCGCCTCGAAGGTGACCCGGCGGGTGCTGGACGTCCCGCCCATGGCTCCCGCTCCTGCCCCCGCAGAGACCAGGCACGGACCCCGGAGCGCGTGCACTCACACTCACACACGTGCACACACGCACACACACATACACGGGCGCACGCGCGCGCGGGGAGACGTGCCCGGACTCTCACGCGGTGGGAGCAAGGCCACGACCCCAAGGCGCAAGGAGAAGGCGCCGGTCTTGAGCGCCCGCCCCCTCCGGTTACGCTCCAGGGCGAAAACGCCTCCGGTTGGTTGGAAATACGATATGGCCCGCCCCCATCTGACACGGGAGCCCGGATTGGTTGGCCCGGACCCGGATACTATGGCAACAGGTGGTAGATTTCCGGAAGCCCTGGGCACAGTGGGATTTGTAGTAGGCCTGCAGACCTGGCGCGAAGGATGGCTGGGAAGTTTGCGGCTTCCAGCCGAGGGCGACTAGACGCTTGGCATTCTGGGAGTTGTAGTCCGGAGGGCCCGCCAGACTTCCTGCGGAGCAACTTGGCAAAGTTCACTGATGGAACCACACTGCTCTGAAGACGGGAATTTTAGAAACCTCCCAAGTGAATACAGTCTCCTTAAGGAAGCCACAGTTAAATCAAAAACACGTACTCTCAATAGTGCAAACCACTATGCCCAAAAGGAGAGAGGCAGACATTGGAGACAGAGAGAGGGAGAGAAGAAAAGCACCTGCCAGTGAGGCAGACAGGGGATGAGGGGGTGAGGGGTGATGGGAGGGAATCTGGGGACACTGGTGCTGGGAAATGTACACTGGTGGAAGGATGAGTGTTGGAATACTGTACTACTGAAACCGTATCATGAACAGCTTTGCACGGGTCTATCTCACAGTGATCCATTAAAAATATATACAAATTAAAAATAACACTCCCAATAGAGTCATACCCAGATTTCTCGAGGCAGAATTTAGCATTTAATTTTAGTCATTGTAAAAACAAAATCAGGGGAGCAAGAGAAAGCAACTGGCTGGATTGTATTTTGTGCAAGTTTGAGCCCTGGCACACAATACATGAACACGCACACACACTTCCTTCCCCAGCCCACAAAATACGATAGATTTATTATTTTACTTACATCCATAAAGTAAAACTTTAAATATGATTTTCAATGTCTTGATTAAACAGAGGAAATAACTTATTTGCACCAGTTCAGAACATTTACTTTTTTTTTCCCAATGTCTCTTTCCACTTAGGCAGAAAAAAGTGATTATCAAATGCTGAGCTATATAAATGAGTAGATGAATTAAAACTACATAAGACAAATAAAGCGCAAGTCAACTCTTCAAGTTGACGTGCATATATTTTAAATGTGAATTTGGGATGGAGTGTGTGTGTGTGTGTGTGTGTGTGTGTGTGTGTGATTTTTGTTTTGTTGGTTTTAGGGCCACAAGTTATGCAGAAGAGAGGGAATGTGGCTACACTTGGCTCAGTGCTGGGAGTAACTCCATGGATGCTCAGGGGCCCATGACATGCTGGGAATGGAATCCTGGACCCCAGCATGTGAAGCATATACTCAAGTTCTTTAAGCTCTCTACCTGCTCCTTGAAACGTGTTTTGGTGGTTTTTTGTTTTGTTTTGTTTTTGCTAAAAACTCTTAAATGAAAGACATTCCCTATACTTAAAGCAGCCACAAAAGTATGTGAATAAGTGAATATGTGAATAAGAATCTTTAAAGTAGATGCATGCCTTTTTTTTCTGTATGGGGAAAGAGTAATATTCAACTAATTAGGTATCATATTTTTTCATTTTTAATTGTTTCCAAATTATGCCATGCCACTTTGCAGTTTTGAAACTACCTGTTACTTTGCCTACATGGTCTCATGTTGCGAAATATGTTGAAATCTTTCTACTGGGAGCTAAAAATTCCAGAAACTATATCTTTCATTTATGTGAGACTCCCCCCCTCATAAATATGCCCGCCTCACTTAGTTAGCCAATATATAGCATAATTGAAGGTTTGACATGAAACAATATCCAATAACTTCCCAATAAATTCTCACCAAGATAATTACAAGAAGAAATAGTTACTTGGAGAGATAAAGGAAATACTAGTAATCTTTAATATATTTATCTCCTTACAGTATTTAATGAGTTCTTCCAATATAATAAAGATGGTGACAGCTAAGCTTGAGAAGGCAGTAAAGTGCCTGCATTTTTTTATGATAAAAAACCACGTAAGTGGTCTTATCAGGCAATCTAAAAATACTTTAGAACTCATAATCCATTACAATCAACTTTACAAAGAAACCTTCAGTATTAAAAGAAAATAGCATACCTTGCTCTTGGAAAATGCCTACTATAACAATATTGTTTTATCCATATCAATTTCAAGGTCAGGCTATGCCTGCAGTCTCTTCTAAAAATTTCAAGAGCCCATGTGCATTCTCTCTCTCCTCTCTCTTTCTTTCTCTCTTCCTTCTCCTCTCCTTCTTTCCCACTTTTTTCCCTCTCATCTTGTCTCCCTCCCTACCCCACCCATCACTCTCATGTCACAGCTTAAAGGCAACGTGTATTACCTGGAAACCTATGAGCTAAAATACAAAGCTTCACCAAAAATAGAAATAATAATATCTGAGGGCCAGGGAGATAGATCAAAAGGCTGGAGTACAAGCACAGCCTATGGGAAGCTGAACCCCATAGTCACCATCCCCATCAGCACTGCTAGGGGAGAACTCGACCGTCCACCAGCAGTAAAGCAAGAGAACATCATATCTCAGCACTACTGAGTCTGCCCCCCTCAAAAAACAACAAAATAATAATAGTTCTTGAGCTACTCAAATCATTTCTTTATTTCCTTCTCACTTTCTTGTTTTGTTTTGTTTTGGGGCACAGCTGGCAATACTTAGGGCTTACTCCTGGTCCTATATCCAGGAATTACTCTTGGCAATGCTCAGGAGATCATATGGGATGCTGGGGGTCAAATCTGGGTCTGCCACATGCAAGCAAGTAAGCTACCCTCTCTACTAGTGCTCTGACCTCTTCTCTTCTCACTTTCTATTGCTTTCTCAAATTTAAATTTGGAATTTTTGAACATACAAAAGATAACAAAGAGAGAAGCTATGATATTGAAACAGCACAAAGAGGCATCAGAGCAAACTACAACTAGGTAGAAGCAGAAAATTTTAGAAGAAGAATAAGCATTCATATTGCAAAGAGGTATTGTGATCTCTACTCACAGATGATAGTATCTTACATATGGAAAAAATCAAGAAAACAATAAGTGTGATAGGCACTACACATTTATTAAAAAAAATTGAAAAAGAAAACAGGAGAACACAAGATCAACAGGCAGAAATCAACTAATCTCCACATCTTAGATCTCTACACATCTCTACTTAATCACGGTCACGGTCCTCCCATTGTTTATTGATTTGCTCGAGCGGACCCAGTAATGTCTCCATCATGAGACTTGTTGTTACTGTGTTTGGCATATCGAATACGTCACGGGTAGCTTACCAGGCTCTGCCGTGCGGGCAAGATACTCTCGGTAGTTTGCCAGGCTCTCCGAGAGGGGTGGAGGAATCGAACTAGGGTCGGCCATGTTGGCCACTTGTAAGGCAAACGCCCTACTGCTGTGCTATCGCTCCAGCTCCCTCTCTACTTAATAAGTCAAAGAAATTAAAGTAATAAAACAGGGGCTGGAGTGATAGTACAGTGGGTAGCACGCTTGCCTTGCGTGTAGTCAAAAGAGTCCAATCCTGGGAAATCCAGAAGATTGTCCAATCCCCTCCAGGAGTGATCCCTGATCAAAGAACCAGGAGTAAGCCCTGAGCACCCCCAAGGGGTGGCCCTAAAAAGAAAAACACAATAATAAACAACAGAGCCCTTGAGTGAAGCCCCACAATTCCAGAAGCTTACGACTTCCCTATGATTCTTCTGGCTGTTTTTGTTTTCACTTTGTTATATTTTTTGGTTTTTGGTTTTTGGTCACACCCAGCTGTGATCAGGCCTTACTCCCAGCTCTGTACTCAGGGATCACTCCTGGTGGGCTCGGGGAACCATAAACTATGCTGGGGTTGGAGCAGGGTCTGCTCTGTAAGTGTCTTATTCACTGGACTATCTCTCCAGTGATTTTTCGTTTTTGTTTTTTCCTCCTGCCCCCGCGCCTGGCTGTCCTCGCTGGGGCCCCTTGGAGGGGAACAGGTTGAGTTTCCCTCCCCGCCCCGACCAGGGCTCCGGCAGCCGAAGACCTCCAGAACCAGCCACCACCATGCTGAGACCACTCTCCACATGCATGAAAGTACCGGCAGAGGAACAAAGGCATGTTGGTCCCGGGGCTGAGATTTCCAAGCCTGCTCGGATTGGGGCTGAGCATCCTCCACCCAGATCCTCCAAATTCCAATAGGCGGGGGTCACATTTATTAATTGGCCCCCTGGTGCTATGTAATCCCATCAAAGGCCAAGACTCAGAGACTATAAAACCCAGCTCCCGGAAGCGACCTCTTATTATCTCATTCCTACTTTGGACAAATTGGCAGGCTACGAATGTAACCTGCCCACATGGCGGAGTCTGGCAAACTCCCCGTGGAGTACCCAATATGCCAAATACCAGTAACAATGATGGGTCTCATTCTCCTAACTCTGAAAGAACCTTGAATATGGCACTTTTTATAAAAAACCCTCAGGGCTAGGACGAAGGAGACCTTACTGGGGCTGGCTAGAGGCAATCGACGAACAACAGGATGGTCATGATCGTCGTGTTTTTGTTTTTTAACTTTTGGGTCACACTGCATGTGCTCTGCCCAGGATTCTAAAAGAGCTTCTAGCTGCAGCTTTGAAAATGGCCAGTTTTGGGAGTATGGTGCCGCCAGCAGGACAATCTGTACCTGTGAGGCAAGTGCATCAGCAGCCTCATGGTGCCTTCAGACTTCCAGATACCCCAAAATTGCTGCTGTGCCTTTGGCCAGACCCCAAAAACTTGGGGCAAAGTTTACCAAGAAAGTAAATGGCCAAAAGTTAGGTATGTGGGAAACACACCCACAAACCACCTCCGGCTCAGCTATATAATTGGAGGCAAGGCCTCTTTGGTTCCTGATTGAACTGCTTAATGAACATGATCCCAGAGACTCAGAAACGAATCTCAGAACCCAGTGGCTTTAGGTAGAAATGCGTCTGGTCTCTGCAGTAGGCTACCGGTGCTGGGCCAAC